CAGCGGTGCCTGCGCGGCCGGGTCTTTGCCTGCCATTTCAGAGGGGATTTGGGGTGGGGGTTTTCCCCCCGCCTTGCGTCCCGCGCCCCATGGTGGCCGCACGCCCGAGGCGGGCTGTAATCGCCTCCCAAACTTTCCCGGGAGCAGCGGAGTCCTCGAGTGGCTTCGTGAGCCGCGGGGCTCCTGCGGGAGCTGCCCGCGGGGCTCGCCCCCCTCGCCCCCCCGCTGCCGGCCGAGAGGAGCCCCCGGCCGGATTCCCCTGCGCTAGGGTCACGGTGCCAGCAGGGGCAGCAGAACGGATAAATAAAATACTTTTCTTCGGGCTATGCAGCTGGTCCGAAAATACCCATAGGGTTCCACGATAGCCTCCTCTGGAGCCTGCTTTTTAACTTATTTTCATGGAATGTGGTCGTTTATAGTCCTGTACTGTTCAGGATCAAGGCACTGCCTTTAAGCCTCCTCTCCAAACTGCATCGGTCCTTCCTCTCTTATCGGAAAGCGTTGGCAGCCCTGTCGGGCTCCTGCGTGCGTGGCCGACCCCGCGGCAGACGCCAACCTGTCCCTTTGCTTTCAGACTCTAGGTCACTTGGAGAAGGCTGTGGTTCTCGAGCTCACCTTGAAGCATGTGAAAGCACTAACCAATCTCATCGAGCAGCAGCAGCAGAAAATAATTGCTTTGCAGAATGGTTTACAAGCGGGTGAGTATTCAAATCGCATCGTGTGAGAACCTGTGTGTGCTTGATGGACTTTCTCTCGGAGCCTTTGAAACGCAGTTGTGACACTTTGTTCCTGAGAAGGGAGCAGGCAGGAGTTCTTGCCTTTAATCGCCGTCATTTTCTCTCGCTTTGCTTATGAGCTTTTGCAAAAAAAGTTGCATTTCTCAGTATGGTCAGCGTAGAGTGCCCTGTGGATTTGCTTTGAAGTTAAATTGGATTTTGAGTAGTTTTATTTAAAGCCCGGGTTTGCTGTGAGGTTTTCTCCAAAGCCATTCGAATCTTCCCATCATATTCGTGAGCTTTGGATCGAACCCAGTTTCGTTTGTTTGGGGTTTTTTCCTGAAAATACATATAAATATGCTTTTTACAGACACCTTTTTTAGGTCCCTCTATAAACAAGCTAGCCTGTGTTCTGCAGGCGAAGAGGGGACCCGGTGTGTCAGCTTATCAGGCTTTAGATGCACTTCCTCCTTCTGTTTTCACATGTGGCACTCACGTGAATCTGATAAAGTAAAATTTAGTTTTTCTGAAGAGCCTTCCACTGCTCCGACAGCCACAGGGAGTGCAATAGAGCTTTAAGCCGAAGCAAAATCGCCCGAGGTTGGCGGAGCTGCTGGCGGGTAGATGTGCTCCAGGAGCTCTCTGCCTGGAGGTGAAGGGCGAGGTGCAATCTGCCTTCCCCGGGGTGTTTCCCAGAGAAGGCACCAGCCTGACTCACTCCCTTGCTCCGCACTTCAGCACCTGTTGAAGGTGGCATAGACAGAACTAAAAAATAAGCTTGAAGTTACTATGTAGAAGCGGACAGACGGATGCTCAAATAAAAACGTACGCTTACACAGAAATCGGGGAAATGTACGCAAAATTCAGGTTGACCATCAAGTTCCCTTCTCGAGCTGTGCTGTGACTGAAGTTTAATAGCGTCTGCCTCGAAGATGGTAATGGAACTATTTAGCACGTTGTTAATTTTTAATTTCTTTCTGTTAATGTTTCCTCAGGTGACCTGTCATCAAGAAACCTTGATTCCAGCCAGGAAATGTTTCGATCCGGTTTCCAGATGTGTGCCAAGGAAATGCTGCAATACCTGGCAAAGCACGAGAACGGCAAGGACCTGAAGTCGTCCCAGCTGGTCAGCCATCTGCACCGAATGGCCTCCGAGGTGCTCCAGGGCGGAGCCGGCCGCAAGTCCGGAGACATCCCTCCTAAAATGGTGGACTTGAAAGAGAAACCCGTCTCCTTGACCAAAGCGGCGGAGGGACATGGGAAAAACTGCGTGCCTGTGATCCAGAGGACATTTGCTCACTCCAGCGGGGAGCAGAGCGGCAGCGACACAGACACGGACAGTGGGTACGGGGGAGAGCTGGAGAAAAGTGACTCCAAATCCGAACAGCAGTATTTCAAAAAGGATACCGAACTCAAGTACGCCGTCCAGGAGAGAATAAGCTCTATTAAGCAAGAGACTGAGGACCCGCCGGCCAAAAGGAGCAGGCTGGAGTCGCCGGAGGACGAGGGCCCTTTTGGCAGCGACATGATGGGCTCTTCCAGCAGCTTCCTGGGCCCCCACGCTCACCAGCCTCCCTTGTGCCTGCCTTTCTATTTGATCCCACCATCCGCGACAGCCTATCTGCCCATGCTGGAGAAGTGCTGGTACCCGGCGTCCGTACCTGTCTTGTACCCCAGCCTCCCAGCCTCTGCCGCAGCACTTACGGGGTTCATGAACCCCGATAAAATCTCCCCGCCTCTGCTGATGCCCCAGAGACTCCCTTCTCCCGTACCAGCCCACTCTCCTATCGACTCCTCGGCTCTGCTTCAAGCCTTGAAGCAGATTCCCCCTTTGAACTTGGAAACCAAAGACTAAGCGCAGTGTGACTCTTTTCCTTCCCCCCCCTTTTTTTTGTTTTTTTTTTTTTAGTTTGAGACTGTTTCACTTCTATGTATTGGCTGGACTGAGGTGTGGGGATAAGGTTCACTGCACGTAGGAAGCTAAATCCCCCTTTCTCTGACTTGTCAGGTAGCTTGGAGAAGGATGAAGGATGCGCCCAGGTTAGCGATTCAGAACTGCTTCCAAAAGAAAAAAAAAATAAAAGGGTTTTGTGCTTTACCCCTTACCTTCTTCCCTCCGCATCTACAGAACAACAGTTGACTCGGTCAGCTGCGACTATATTGCAAAGCTGTGAAAAAATACTCCATTAGGCAGACTTGGTTTTAGGGTCTGTGAATATAAAAATACGGTACTTCTCGTAAGGGCTTTTAAGGCAACGGCCCCATCGCCAGTAGTTTGAGCCGAACTGAT